GCATAAAGCATAAATGCTATTTTCCATTGAGCAGTAGTTTTCTAAACGATAATCATAACATCAGATATTCAATTGAAATCTAAAGTTTATATACGCACATGTTTTGTTATAATACTTGTTAAATATGGAGCTCCAAATCCTGCAATGCTAGCTACAGAAAATACATAGAATTATTTTGTTATAAATAAAGTAGAATATTTTCATACAAACTGTATTACCAATACCACAAACAACCCCGGAATGAACACCACTAAAATCACTAATATTAACAACATCTCCACCTGACATCATAAAACCACTAAAAATAACAAAAACTCTTGATGATAATTCTTTGTAATATCTTACCTCAATGCTACTCCAATAATAAGTAACATAACTGCTAGATAACGACGTTCACAGTCAAGAAACGATATAAATAGAAGACAAACAGCTGGTCCTAAAGTGCCAATACCATGAAATAGTTTTCTTGCATTAACACGTTTTAAATATTTCTTTTCTATGAGATAATCTGCTAAACGACCAGTTGTCATAACGACTATGAAACTTGCAATATGTGGCAATGCTGAAAGAAAACCATTTTCTCGAATACTAAATAATAAAACTTCATTCATATATTCTGGAACAACTGCCCAGATAGCTAATAAAACAAAAAAGAAATGACTTCAAAAGATACTTTTTTCAAACCATAAAGGCCAAAGTCACAAAAAAACATTGCTAGAAGAATACACCAAACAGCTTGAGATCGAAAGATTGCGCTCCAGGGTATTTTCTTAGATTAACAAAATATAAAATAAATATATCAATGAATTCTATTCTTACAGTATCTGTATCTTGAATTTTTTCATCTGCTTTACAACCTCGAATATATTCTTTTTCATCCGGTGATATATATTTATTTATCGCAGGTGTATCACTTGCAAAAATAAGCCATACAACTGACCAGACAATACCAAGACCACCTATTTAATAATAGTTTTTTGATAGATTTTATATAATAATTGTATGTCTTTATTTACCCAGAAGATAAAAAAAATATGCCCAACCATGTCGAAAAATGAATGGAATAGCATCATATAACGAAAATGTACAAAAAAGACCACCGATCATTAAAGAAACAATTGTGCCCATTGAAAGTCCTTAATGTAAAATTTAAAAAAACAATTTTAATAAGGCCTATATATAATTTACCAGCAGTCTGAAACGAGAGAAGTGTTGTCGTTTCTGAGGCTGGTGCCCATGTTGACCAAAAACGAAAAATAGTTGGCCAAAGACCACCCTATAATAATTACAAATAATATAAAATTCTAATTCTGATTTATTCATTTATACTTGAGCTGCACCAGCAACAATACGTAATAATACAATAAATGGTGAACTCCATGTGGAAATAATTGGTAATAGTACTGTAGCCAAGGATGACATAAAGATAAGCATTGCAAGAAAACGTTTTGGACCAAAATAATTAACAGCAATTGATGAAACTATTTGTGTTAATGCATAACCCCAATAGAATGAACCAAGAAAAATGCCACGAGTCTCTTTTGGCCAATTAAGAACTTGACCTGGCTATTAGATATATAATACACATACATATTTAAAACAGTTTTATACCGATCGAATTGTTTGTGTCGTATGCTTATGACATGATATTGGAATATTTTGTCGAGTCAATAGAGAATTATTGGTATATGCTGATCCTAAATTGTCTACATCTGGATCAACCATACAAACAATAGCTACACTGCAATAGACTATTTCAACAATTTGATTAACATATAAATTTATACATACGAAAAGCCGTTTCGTTGGGCATAACATAGAAAAAAGCCCAGAAATGCCAAAAAGGCAAGTAATAAACGATGTGAACATACGAGTGGAGCTGCTATTCATAAGTGAACTAGTATGATTTCTACTGTGAAAATATATATTACCTTTTATTTGGGATGCTTCATTGGCTGCGTATACTTCTTTACTTTTAGCCATAATAATCTGTTATTCTATGAAAGATAAGATGTAATTTCTAACAGGAGTATATATATTCTATTATTCTTATTCAGAGATGTAGAATCTCTCGCGTGCGCGTACGACAGTTTGGGAAAATTTTCACTAGTAATGCTGAGGGAAATGTTTTGTTTTAGCGACAGATTCAGCATCTCTGTTCTTATTTCATTCCACGCATAGAAGTAGGATGTATCTATCATATGATAAGAATAAGATAAAATTTCTTGTGTTTGATGATGATGATGCAATACCAAACTGCAGAACATTTCTAGTTTTCATCAGATTCTTGACAATAGACAAACTTCAATGAACTTACACAATTTATTGATGCAATAAAAATGGTGCATGATCAATTAATAATACTAATTAGTCTGATATATTTACTCACCTTTCACGTTTTATTTTGATGTGTATTACTTAGAATAAATGAAGTAGATGGTACTTGACTTATAATTTATAATGCAGTCCTTTTATGTTGTATAAACTGAATAATTTTGTTCATATTTTTTATCTTTATCCATGATTGTGTGTTAAGTATAGAGGTCAAAGATTAAAGTACACCATTGGAGAGTGAATGTGATAACGAAACAAATATAGAAGTGAGTTTTTTTTTTCAGTTTATAAAATTTAATATCAATTGCTCACAATTAAAATATTTCTTTTTCTTTGTAATATTGAGATATCTTCAGATGATAGTTCTTAGTGTAATTCAAGATAGTGTGTGACGCAAACAAACTACTAAAGCATGCCGTTAAATAAGAAACTTGGTTAGTATTGAAAAATGTTTGTTTACTCAAATTGCATCTTTTAACAAGAAAAACTATATTATTGAAAATTTGTATTGTTTTGTAGATTGAAAAGAAATAAAACATAATAACGTAAAAATTCTTGCATAGCAAGTTCCTATATTTTTAAAACAAAAATATGCATGGTGGAATGTCGTTTGTATATTCCATACCATTGCATAGTGAGTCGAACTTCGACTACACCAAAACGTATTTCACTGAAAGACTACAATTAATCTGCAATAATAAAATTGGATTATGTCCCTATATATTCATTGTCTTTCTAAATATAAATCTGTTTGATAATTACTAAATTCTAAATTTTGTTGAGCTTGCTCAAACATAAAACATTCTGGATTTTCCTTTATCGTTTGATTTTCAATCGAATGACGTTGTTTATGATGAGCATAAAGTTGATTTTGATGAAGAAAACCTTTTTGACATAATTCACACCTACAATAAAAAACAATACAATTTCTTTTTATTAATAAAATATATTATTATTATTTACTGAAATGGATATTGATGTGAATGACGTACAATATCATGATCACGTAAATGTTCTGGTCGAACAAATGTTTTAACACATCTATCACATTTAAATAATCCACCAGATTCACTATGTTTCGCTGCATGTTGTTTCAGTTTATCTTTTCTAAAAAAATATTTACAAATAAAAATTTAACATTTTTCTGTTCTATGCTTAATTTTCTATTGATAATACCGAGCAAATGCTTGTTCACATCCATCTTGTTGACATTTAAATGGTTTTATATCTGAATGTTTGGTAACATTATGTCGATTTAAATGGAATGTTGTTTTAAATGTTAATTTACATGATGAACAACTTTTTTGATTTGGTATATCTTCATTATGTTGTGTTATAACATGTCGTGATAAATCATTTCGTTTTTGAAATGTTTCAATACATACTGTGCAACGATAAAGTGCAAGATCAGAATGTTTTGCTATATGATTATGATAGGAATTATTCGATTCAAATTCTGCTGGACATAACTGACAAAGAAATTTATGTGTTTCATAATGCATATGATATTGTAATTGTTCAGATGTTACAAAAGATTGTTTGCATATTCTACAACGATATGTACGTTTACGACGACGATAACAAACATTACTACGAGATGTACGTCGAGAACCAATATGTCGTTTTTGACTATGAATACGTGCATGAAGAATATAATCAACAGGTTTATCAAATAATTGAGAACAAGCTTCATTTAAACAACGAAAGACTGGATTGAGACAATGAACTAAATAATAAATTCTTTTATAGAGTCTACAATATCAAACAGGTCTAGGCTGTTCATATTCAAATGTAAAATCATCACTCGAAAGGTTATCAACAATATTGAAGGTAGCTCCAATCAAGCGTGACGAAAAAACGAACAACCCTGTAGCCTATTACCTTACAGATATAATATCGTCTATCCAAGGAACAAACAATAGATTTCTATCACATGATAATGATATATGATTGTATTTCAAAAAAATGACTTGTCTATTCTCGTTATTTCGTTATGTTTAAAATATAATTATATGCTGTGAATTTTAAATTCTGTTATTTATTCAATAACAGAATGCATGACGTAGAGAGAAAACCTTCCAGTGCTATTTGAAAACTCATCGAA